AGGCATGGAATTTACTCTAAAGACTTTATAAAAATATAGAGATAAAGGAGAAAAGGAGAGATAGAGAGAGATAGAGAGAGATGGAGAGGTAGCTTGGCTTGACCGCTTGAAAGCCAACCAACTTGTGTTTTGAGTGCCAAAGCAAAGCATCTCAATTTTGATTTGAAGAGATTATTTTGGTACTATCTGGAATCCAAGAAATGGTATTATCTCTGTACCACCCAACTGTTTGGTACTTTTCTACCACACAGAATATATATATGATTTTTTTTTTCCACACGTTACCATCAAAGAAAGCAACATGAAGAATCACAAATAATTAATATATAAATTTAAACAAATAAAATAAGCACATAATTTATAAATTAGTTTTTTTTTAGTATTAAAGAAATACAAAGATCTGTGAGTTTGAGTGAGTTGACTCACAGGCAACTCAGCTTTTACAGTGAAATTAAGGAGGTGACCTAATTTAATGAAAAAAATTAGTGTTCTGTTAATTCAACTCTTCCCAAAGGCATGTATTAGCTAGTGAGTTTCCTTGTTGACAAATTTTAACAAAATGAAATTGTCGGTAGGGATTAAAAATAATGCATTATATATATATATATATATATATAGGTAGGTAGATCATCACCTACTTTATTCTTTAATTTTAAAAAACATAATTTTGATTACCATATGTTTTAGAAAAATTAACATCGAATGTACTCACGTCATATCCACCGGTAAGCACGTTTTGTTAAATATAAATTACATTCACAAATAATGAAGAGTGCAGTTTTTCATGAGCTTTATATTTGTTTATTGATTTATTTATTCATTGTATGAAAGGTTACATTTCATTAATAAAATTTCAATATATTCAGCTCTATTATGAGATTCAAAGAAAATATCATTAAATATACTAGTTATATATGATGTTGATCGTTACCACATCCGAATTCCACCCCCATAGATTCATTATAATAAAAATAAAAATAAAAACTTACTTAGATTATCACCCGGCCGTGGTGTATGTGTTAAGATTTTAGAGCAAGAGAATTGGATCCTCTACTCCTTTTGTAGCTTTATGAGTTTCAAATGGTTTCATTTGAGTGTTCATAACGCTCTCTGTCGACATGATGCATATAATCGATGACATAGTATATTCATGTTGACATATAATCGATGACATAGTATATAATTTTGATATACGTACGGTTATCAATACATATACACATATTATTAGGTGATACAAAAATTTATCTGATTTGAAAACAACAAATCTTCTAAAGAATGAATTGATTATATACTCATTTTTAAAAATAGAGATAAGGAAAAGCGTATGCATCTTGCACCTTGCACCTTCCAATGTGTACGTCTCAAAATTTCCACAAGATTCAGTGCATGAGCCAATTCCCTCTCACTTTCAAGATACTTACAAAGGCAACTAGCTTCTTGTTGGGTCAATCAAAAGAACAAACACAACACCTAATTTAAAATGCTTCCGAAGAAGACACACACAATCCTTATCAAACCCCAAAAGCATCTTTCACGTGATGACAAGCTTTGTTCTTGGCATTTCAATTTCTGCGAGACCTCCTCCTGAGGGAGGGTATCTTTTGCCTCTCTCTCCTCCCCCATTTTTTTTTCTTTTGCAAATAAGTGGGTCCCCTTTGGCATGTCAAGGACGGATAGAATCTTTTTAAATAATGCTAGATATCAAAAAATTTACAGGTTTTTTTTTCCTTCTCGCAACTTTTTGTGAGGCTGTTTTTGTCATCTAGGGTTTTGGTGTGTCTTTGTCTGCTTTTAAGGAGTTGTATTCAATGGCATTATTGGTGAGTTGTGTTCTTGCTTGGTCCTTGCAAGGATTCCACTTATTGGGCCCTCCCTCAAGTCCTCTCCAACTACATCATCATCATTTTTTTCCACTCTCCCTTTTCCCATCGATCTTACCTTTCTAGAAATCAAGAAGTAGGTTTAATTAAGGGTAACAAATCAAAACTCCAGCTTGTTAAATAGCAATTTTTTTTTTTTTTTTTTTATTTATATGGTATATAGGTTTTTCATGTGAGATCCAACGTGCAATAGTAGATCTCACCTATTTTTCATTAGAATCTGACGTAGTATCATGGACGTATTGAATAATCAATGAGTAATGTTCAGAATATCACATTCATAGACCACTTTGTGTAAGTTCGGATTCATTGTATTGGCAGGCTTCATCTCCAAATTAATGCCTACATAATATCTGTAGTGTTTTGAATCTAATTGCATACAAAATGAGCTGTAAATAATTATGATATTTTGTTGGCTCGAACCTCCTGTCTTCATGCGCATGATAGAATTATACTACATTTGTCAAAGTCATAAATTCATGGTGTTCCATCGTCACAAGCTAGCTACATGAGTTTGGACCACAAAGAGAAACTTGGCTGCCACTATTAGAAAAAAGTTCGTTCTAATTTGATTGTCTTACTTCCGAAATCAATTTTATAAGTTTTAATAAACGAAAAAAGACAGTCGAATTAAAGAACTCTTCCACTAGTAAAAAGTAAGAATTACTTAATTTTATATTATCATTATATGCAAATCACACATGTTAAAATATAGTCGGTAACATCATAGTTTGTGTAGTCCGTAAATACTCGGGTACTTAGGTAAATGCTCAATAAAATTACTTGTATTTATAATTTTCTATATTTTAGTGAGAAAAAAAATAAATTTAAAAAGAAGGAGACATTAATGCGTAGAGAGAGATATTGTGGAGATTCCATCTCGAGTCTTGAATTGAAAGGAAAGCTTTTACGGTGGAGTGGTACGCAGTACGGTGAAAAAACGTGGGGAGTGTCGGGAGGGCGATCATGCCTTATGACGTGGCAAAATGATGGGTAGGGAATCCGGATCGCCGCATACGAGCGGCGGTGCTTTTAACATTCAGGAATAATGGTGGGCCCCACACTCCCCCTCCCATCAGATTCTCTCTTTTGTCGCCTTCCTTAATTCCATTTGCCATTTTTCTTTTCTGGATTTTGTTTTCTACTCTTTTTTTAAATCACATTTTCTCACCTTCTTCTTCTTCTTCCTAGTTCTTCCTCCTACAATTCTACACCACATATGCCCATGTGGCCAAAGTGTGCCTTTCACTACTCTCCATTCCATCAAATATCAATGGTTTGGTTTGTGCTTTGCTTGCAAATAAGGATATTATGCTTATATTTTCGATGTTGATGCTTTTGTCTACGACTGAAATCTACTAAATTTAGACATGTAACACTATCAACACAAAAAAAGATAAGTATAAATATCAGACTCCTTTCTCACCGTATTTAACATATGTTATGACCTTAAAAGTGATCAGAGCTGCGACAGAATAATTAGTATTATGTGTTATATTTAATACCTCAATACAATTAGCAAAAAATTATGTAAAATGTTCGTATCGATGATAATAAAAAAGAAAAACTATTTTCAAAAATAGATGGAATATTTGAATAAGATTTCATGCTTTCACCCAAAAATATGGTGATAACTTGTGCACACAGAATAATTGGCCCAGTTCATAACCACAGACACCAATTTAAAAGAGTATGAACTCGAGACCTTCCTTCCTTGCAAGCATTTTCTATGATATATTGATTGCGCATTCTTATCCTCATGATGAGTTAGCTCGCTGGTCTCTGTCCCTATAATAATGGCATCGTGCCCTCCAATCTGAGGAAACAAGTCTCACGATCTACAGCTGCTGCCACTAATACATCTCTAATTTTTACCCTTGTAGTAAAGGAGTTTTTTTACTTTTATTTGGGGAACTGACTTGCAAGGGACATTTACCTTTTGTTCATCTACCACCCAGAAGCCCAAACAAACAAAGGGTTAAGTAGGTCGAGCAAAACCCAATTACATTTTGGTGGACATGTTTTGTAATCCCATTTGGAGTTAAATAAATAAATACATTCCCGTTAGGAGTGTAATGATGAACAAGAAGGCCCAAACATTTAGAGCCCTTTTGGAAGCACCTTTGTTAGAAGCGCTTTTATTAGAACCACGTCGGAGTTCTTTATTACATTTCCAAATGCTTCTTGAAGAAACACCTAGCATGTGGTGTTTTCCAGAAAAGTCTTTTTATACAGAAGCACTTCAATGTTTTGTGCCAAATGTTTTTGAAACCGCTTTTAGCCATTCCAAAATCAGTCTCAAATAGATCAAACACAATTGTTCCACATCAGAGAAGTGACAGTCCATAAAGGATAGTGAGGCCCAGATTGGTTACCAAATCAGAACAAAAAACTGCTCTGAGATTGTAGTGTGATCAAATTTCTCTCTTCGGATTGATGTATATATGATATCTGATTCTTGAACCACAGAAAGAAAATTGGCTAAAGACTGTATCATGCACACCAGAAAAACAAGTTATTTTGCAACGATTGAACAGCGCTCCATCAAGACAATGACAGGGACTAAAGTTCTTTTCTGTCAATCTTCAGTTTCAACTTATTATGCTTAGCATTTGAACCCAAAAAAAACGTTGCGCTAAGCTAAGCCGCCAAATCCCTTGAAAAGGGGACGAAAAGAAAAAGACAGCGAGCCTGTAAACATATGCAGAAGAAAACTGTGAGGGGGGGCATTGGTAGCAAGATCAAGTTTCTCAAAATTTCTATTTCCATTTCTTGGAGATGTTACGAGCATAAAAAGTACAAAACTTAGGAAAGGACAATGACTAGTGCAAAAATGCCCTGTTTTAATTGGGCTAAAACTATTTACACTTCAGCATCATTCTGTCCTGTCTTGATGAAATGAGCAGTCAGAAGCTTTGGGACTGAGAAGCCATTGAAGGGGTCGACCTCAAAGTTCTTTTAGCTTATCATCACACATCATTCTCCACTTATCAGAGGGATCCTTCAAGGGGAAAAAACAGCCAAAAGCAGGTGTGAAGTTAAGCAGTCAGTACCAAGATCTAGTGGCACCCTAAAGCAATGGCAATACAGTAGAAAACAGTCATTAATGTATCTATACCATCAAACGTAATATCTTCCCTCAGGTATGCCTATCCCATTGAACTTCAAGTAACTGGAAAATGGGCCAATTTTACCTGAATGATTCCCGGGCCCTATAATTTGGATTTTAGACATACATTAATGGGAAATAGAAGTAGGCAAAAAGTTAAGCTGCTCTGAAATAGTGTGTTGGATCAACATCATTCAGCAGACAGACACAATACTACTAGGCAGCAGAATCAATGTTGGGCCGAAAGTGGTAGGAGAGGAAGAAGACCCGAACCATCTTTCTTTAGTCGTTTTCATTTTGCTTAGGGTCATCTGAATCTGAATATTGAAATTGGTGCTGAGACTCACAAATTCATAACTGAAAGCACCTTGGTTCATTTCTTAGCATAGTATTTGGAAACATTATGCCAATACCAGGATGTGGTATAAAGATACAATAACTTTGCAACCCAACAAAGTTTGATAGCTGAAGACTTGAATATATTATATCTATACAGATGTATCTCACCTTCTTCATGCTCCTGTTCAGACTGCTTATCCTTTCGTGAAGCATTATCTGGAGCTGCTAGATTATAAGTAACACAATTTGTAAGTAGGTACCAAAATATTTGTCAAAACTTCAACAAGAGAGTATAAATTCTGTGACAGCATAGCACAGATAGCATGGCATACACTTCTGACGAATTAAAATTCTTCCTTGAGAAAATTTATCACTTTTATCACTGGACATATAAACAAACTGAAAGCAGCACTATGCAGATAAAGAGACATTTCAAAATATTCATGTCCGTGATGAAGCTAAATGCATATAGCTCTAGGTGAAATATATGGAACCATGTTCCACCCAACATATGTCGGAGACCAAGTACAATAATTATATACTTCCTTCCTGCTGACCTATCACCCTTTCTTGTGAAGCTATCAATATATCATAATCCATATGCATGAAGTATAGAAATAAATGTGCAAAAAGCATCACATCCAAGAAACAGTTTCCCCATTCTACACAATGCATTTTGATTTATCAGTACTGAAAACTGGAGGATTTATGACAATCAAATTCATCCCAAACCGTAAGTATGTAGGAAACAAAATGCATGTTTATTGAAGATGTATACCTTCTCCATTTAAGGGCAATATGTGCTTGGACAGAGCTTTATTCATTTGAAACATATTGATAGAATCAACATCAAAAAGGGCACGCAATGACTCATCACATATTATCTCTCGTTTATTATTTGGATCTTGCAAATTGTTCTCCCGGATATAACTCCAAAGTTTCTTCACAACCTAATTCAGGAAAGAAATGAGAATGAGTATACAATAAGTTTTGAAATTATACTTAAAGCGATTTCATCCGGCTAAAAATAAAATAAAATATTTTCTTTTTCCTCGAGGAGAAAGGGGTTTTCTGAAAATCTAAAACTAGTACCTCTGTTCTGGCCAATTCTGGCACTCCCATGAACTTTTGAAGTTCTGGAGAAAGGCTGCATAATTTGGTAAAGCCACCTCCTCCCCTTTTCTTGACTTCTTTATCCACTTTTGCAGCCCTACTTGATAACACACTATATTAGAAAAAATAAACACCAGCCACCTCGGAACCAGGTATATATCGCCCTAAATGCCATAGAGGGTCTTATGAATATCCAATAGGTTACTATGTACCCAGTACATATCATTATACAAATAAACAGTAATGGACTTTCCTTTACTTTTCTTTTTTGGGCGGGAGCAGGAGAAATCAGGAGAAACTCAAACTATCACAAGTAATAACTCTACGGGTGTTATTCTGATAAATTAAATGGACAATAAGTGAATTCAATGATCGGATTTAGATGTTAGAGTTTTGAATATCCAGAAACTCTGTTTTTGCCTAGTTATGCAAATCAATAACGAATAAATCATAATTACATCTCTACAAGGACTTCAAGTTAAAATATCCAACTTCCAAATGTTGAACATGCATAATAGAAGAACTAAAAAAATAATGGAAACAATGACAAGGTCAACAAAATCAAAAACCCACACAAAAAAGGATAAGACATGAAATTAAAGAAAGTAACCTTCGTTTCTTGCTTTCTTTTTGTTTACTAACTTTTTCTTCCTCCTCCTCTTCTTCTTCTTCCACCTCTTCTTCCTCTTGTGCTACATTATTTACATCTCCTTCAGAGACAGAATGATCACTTTCTTCCCCTTTCTTCTTTTGCTTTACAGGTTCTGAGTTTCATCATGCTACGGTGTTAAAATCTCAAATAAATACTATAACATGCAACTTCAGGGTGACAATTGTAAAGGTAAATGATAAATAAAATTATAAGATACCATTACATGAAATACGGCAACGATCCTATTTGGAAGACTTTTTTGTTGGCAGATGGAGTTGTAAAAAAGTAAAATAAATTACATATACCCCATGCTAATGGACATACTGAAAAAAGAGAATAGTTTATGAGCCAAGATATCAGTATTATACCGGAGCTACAGAAAGTCAAAATAACTTAGAAAGGAAAAAATGAAATCATGCTCCGAAGAAAAATAACAAAGCACAAATTTTAAAAAACCATGTTTTTATTAAGCTTTGTAACCAAATGTTATACCTTCTTCTTAGTGAGCAAAACCAACCACGTGCAAAGTACAAGTGAAATGGATAAGCATCCAAGAGAACCTATAAGTGGACGGTTCCATCCTATCATAAGCTGATTCATAAAACTCCGTAATGTAAAATCATTCTTAAACTGGAGAATAAACAATTAGTAATATTGCCTGTCCTCAGTGAATTACAGTAGAAAATAGTGTACGTCTTGTAGGAATGTCCTTTTTTTTCATTTTCATTGAGTGCACATTCAAGTTTAGTGGAGTTTAAATGCATGTAAAGCAGCTGCATATACCATGCTCATCAAACGGAGAGTAACAAGAAAGAAAAAAACAACACTACGCACATTCTTGAGTATATGGAAAATCAACATGTAAGTACGAAGGTAATATAAACAAGTTAACACCATGAACAAAGACAATCAGGTCACATATATTGTCATCAGAAGGATGAGGAAAGTAATTCTAGACATACCATCTTCTCTGCCAAGCGGCCATATATGCTTGGAGAGAACTTTATTCATTTGAAACATATTAATAGAGTTAACACGGAAAAGGGAATGTAGTGATTCATCACATCTTATATTCCGCCTATTTTTTGGGTCCTGCAAATCCTTTTCACGGATATAGGCCCAAATTCTCTTCACTACCTAAAAATGAAAGAGGGAGAATAAGTATCATATTTTGGTTCCGAAATCTCCATCCAACACAAGGATGCATTGAAAAGTAAACAATAAATTGCATAAACCTAATTTACCTCTGTCCTGGCCATTTCAGGCTCTCCAACAAATTCTTGAAGCTGTGGAGACAAGCTACATATTTTGTTGAAGCCACCTCTTTTGACAACTCCTTTATCCACCCTGTTTGGAAATATAAAATAACTTAGAGAAGTGTGCATAGCAGAAACTCAGAGCCCCAGCACGAATACATATTTACAGAGCCACATACATCACATACTCATTCATATATTGAGGACAAAAGTAACCAACCACAGATGGAACTTAACAACAAGTACACAGAAAATTCATTCTTCCAGAAACAATGTAAAGAAATCATCGTCCCTGAACTGGATTTCAGAGATATGAGCCTACTCTGAGAAATTCCACAATCATATTAGACAATTAGCCTATAGATGAATGCAAAGCTTTCTCAACATATATGTGCTCCTTAGAATAACAGGAGAGAATGAACGTTAGTCGTACAAGTACTAGCCTCCAGCATATAGCGCAATATCCTTGACTTGTCAATGTAATCATAGTATAAGCTTCAACTCCTTTCATATAGTGCTCTAAATATGTAGTATTAACTATGAAGAGCTAAATAGATAAACAGATTTCTAGGCATACAAGTAAGTGCATACTAAAAAAAGAGGACTTCCTTACAATGAGTAAGGTGGACTTTAAGGGCCATATCTCTAGATACAAAGTCACTGTTATTAAATGAAAACTACGCGTGAATGTTTTAAGGGAAGCCATAGATTCTGAACTGATCATTTCCAATTCACTGTCAATCGGTATACTTCCATATCAAATTCTTCACTAAACAGAGACTTCTCATTTACTCCTCATCTAAATCTAAATATGCAAACTTTAAAAATGTATACTCTAAACTTCTAGGAGCCTTTTCAGTTTCAAGATGAGACAGCAAGACAGACTGCTGTTGGTTTGCTACCCGCACTGAAAACCTCAGTATTTGATAATTCAATGAGCAATCCATGTAGAAACACCGAAAAAATATTCATTATTTCTTCATTCAGGTATGTGTTTTTTCTAAGTGCAAAGTATGATATGTTCACATAAGAAATGTACTGCAATGATGTTGTGGATTATGAAACCAAAGTTTAAGACCAGAAAGAAAGAAATCAACTTCAATACAAATTTCAGCCAACCAATTGATAAAGAAAGGAAAAGGCAATAAAAACTACAATTGGATGCACATAGTTGACAGAAATATCAAGAAAGGAATCAAGTTCACTTCTTGCAACTACTCCAAAATCCCAAAAGATTATTGACTTTGCTTTTATTTCAATAGAAAAGAAGAAAGAAAAAGAAGCCGCATTTCTCATCATGTGGGACCCAATGAACCCGAAAAAAGAGAGGCCAAATTGGGCAACTGGTATCCTCATTAACTTAAAACCTCAATTTCTTTCCTACCGACTTAACCCCATTTTCCCAGCAACCAAACACTAATAAACAAAACAAAAAATGCAGTTAAAAAATAAATTAAAAAATTAACTCACGTTTTTCTCCTTTTATTTTTGCCTTTATTCTCTTCCTCTCCTTCTTCATCTCCATCTTCTTCTTCTTCTGCATTCTCCGACCCTTCACCGACCTCCTCCCCCTCCGCTTCTTCTTCGTCTTGGGGTTCGGCCCTGTGGGTCTCGAGGAAAATGTCGATTTGGTCCCGGATAAACTTTTTCCGGTCCGATAAATCAACTCCGAAATCGTTTTCCAGTTGACGGCGAACGCTGCCGGCGGTGGCCGTGTCGAGGTCTGAAGTGCTGAGGATTTCTGTGAGCCGGGTCAGGATGTCCGAGTTCGAAACCATTTTTCCTGGGCTCTGAACTTTACCAATATCTGGGCGATGATTGGAGTTGAGATGCTTCGGCGAGGGAGAGAGAGAGAAGGGAAATGGAGTCTCATGCAAGTGAAACCTGTGAAGAAGAAGGAGAAAGAACAAAACGGGCAATGGTGTAGCGTGTAGGCGGGTGGAGGGTATTTCTGGAATTTGAAATTTTATCTTGCAGCTTGCTTGGCTGGGGTCTAAGGCCTTCGCACTAGTATTTACACACCTTGGTGATGTAGTCTAGGTTAACTCCATTTGCACTCAACAAAGTAGGTGAAAATTTGGCAAAAATTAAAAAATTAAAAAATTAAAAAAATAGGTAAAAGAGAAAAATCTAGGATTTACTTTACTATCTCATGCACTATTTTTAAGTAGATTATAAATACACATAATTATCGCGATCCATACATATTTAAAGTGTCTCTTAACTTATGAAACTAAAACGTCAAATTCATAATTCGTCACATACTCATTTTTAAAGATTCACAAAAGACTCAGTTCAAACTGCCTAAAACCAAATTCATTCGTGCGAAAATAAACTATACTAACCACTCGAGTGTGCTACAAGGCCCTTATTTTAAATAATTTTGTTTAGAGCTAAAAACTACAACTTAAAATTTTATTAAACAATATTGAGAAAAAATGCAATATTTAAAATAATAAAAAAAATATTTGGCCTTGGAACTGTCGCACCAAAACCTATGTTCTTATTTTTGGACTGTTCTGCCCTAGTAGTTGGGTTTTGGGCAATGTCCAATTGGGTAGGCACAGGCCTCCCCTAGCCACAAAGCCGAAACAAGCTAAAGAGGCAAAATCCGTTTCTCCAAAAAGAATACCGCAACTTTCGGAGCAGTATGAATCCAAATGAATCCTTTAACTAAAAAAAGAATACAATAACAAACCAATGTCACTCATTATTGATGTTACCAATAAAATGACCAAAATGACCCTGTCTCATTTTGGTTTGGGAAATGCTAACAACCTTCTTTAACATTCTCCTTTAGATCTTCTTCATTTTCCTCATGACATGTGTCATTCTTATTACACTTAAAACAATGTCATTAATGCATTACAAAAGCTAACTTTTGTTTTCCAAGTTTACTTTCCAATTCAATTAATCTTTATTTTTTTTTTTTTTTTTTTTTTTTTTTTTTTTTTTTCTTATCAACTCTTAATGAAAAGTTTTTTTTTAAACGTATTTTTTTGTTGTTGAAAGAATTGTCTGCTTTCCTCTCTTTTTTAACACAAAAGAAATGTCAATTTTCTATTTTATATATAAAAAAAGACGTCATTCACATTCATAAGCACCCCAATGGTACAGAGTTTACGGACTAACTTTTTTTATATATAAAGGAAATTGCTTGATTGCATTTTTTATACTACTAAATAAACCAAAATATCCCCTAACAACATAGGCTTGAGATAAAAGATATAGAAGCAAAAGAATAAAAATCATCAAAATCGAATTCAATATGAAAAAAAAATATTACAATTTAGATTAACAAAAGAAAAATGAAAGAGTGGTCTGCATCTATATTATACAAACGGCTATAATATGTTCTCAAAAATAGAAACAAAGACCAAAAAAATAACTGACGTTAAAATTTTATAATAAAAATAACTTTTATTAAGATGGTAAGAAAGTTGTCAAAAAAAATTTAGATCAATTGAATAGGGTAAACTTGGAAAGCAAAAGTTAGCTTGTATAATGCATTAATGACATTGTTTTAAGTATTCTAAATGGAGAAGATCCAAAAGAGAATGTTAAAGAGAAAGTTGCTAACATTCCTTTTTTGGTTTTGGACACTTTTCTTTCTACTGCTGGAAGCTCCAGGCAGGTTCAGGTTGTACTAGTTCAGTTGGGAATTAGGGTTTGGATTTTCTGATTTCTCAATTGATTTCTGTCAGGTAGGCTGTCGTTTTGTTTTTAGCTTTTTAGTTATGGTGAGCCAGGGCTTAGGTTTTGTTTAGGTGTTGTGGTCTTAGTCTCTACTGTTTTGGGTATTGTAGTAGCTGTTTGTGCCTCTTTGGGCTTCAATTTCAAATCAAAGAAAGAAAAAAAATATATATATATATATAATAAATAAATAATCTCCGTTTATCTTCTACTGATTCTTATTTCCTTCCTTTCTTTCCACAAGTCTTGATGAAAACAAAAAAATATGCATGTGACCAGGAAGGAATTAAATCATTTGAGGCAAGCGGGAACCATTATGCAAGAGGCTTGTAGCTCAAATTGTTAAGAGTATTTATTCATGCACTCAAGGTCTTAGGTTTAGGGTTTAGTATTTATTCATGGCATTATCCCCCCTCCCCAGTATCGCTTAATAACTTATATAAATAATTTATAAAAAAAGAAAAAAGAAGGAAGCCCATTCCTAAACTAAGGAGTTGTCAAAACATATACTGCATGATGACAGAAACAGATAATGCCATTCCAGGGAAACAAGGAACAGGAGATTGTTTATAGATTAAAGATATCTTACAAAAATATCAAGACTCATCTACTTTCTGTCATCAAGGTATGTACAACTCTAGAAGCGAAAGCCTTGAATTGATTAAGAAGTCTCCTAGCTTACTAAACACAGTAATATTCTGAGAATGGCCAATAATACACCACCTTATAGAGCGCTACAAATTATTATCATTATCAGTGTGATCAGATTCAGAAGCATTCTCATCAGTATCAGACCCACTACCAAAGTTGACGTTTTCAGTTTCAACCGCGCTGTTATCTGAGATTTGGCCACCTTTTAAAAGATGCTTCAAGTCATCTAGAATATAAGGTTCTACTAATTTCCAGAACCAGGTAGAATTACTTCCAAGAAAACCAATCCAAAAAACTCTCCCCTTCCTCTTCACCTTGCAATCCAGGGACTTTGCCTTCAAGGCTCTGACAATCTTCTCAACACCCTCTTCATTTCCCTTTATCTTCAACAATATGTCACCTGATGAAGTCCTGTGGCCCCCATACATATACCAGTAGGCAAGAGCACAGGGTGACAACCATCTATGGATTAGCTTTGGAATCACCTGTCTACCTTTTGGCCAAAACTGGTCCGCATAGAAACCTAGACAAGAATGTGAGATGGTTGAAAATTTATATGGTATGTCATCAGTACTCTCACTGGTTTTACAAGAAGGATGTAGCCACTCGTGGTATTGATCATACATACGTCTCCTTAACAGAGAATGTGTGCTAGAATTCTCACTGAACTCAAACCGGATCATGTGATTCTTCCTGTCTTCATCTGACTCAATCTGCAAACCACCCAACAGCATACCTACTAAAACTTCTCGTTGTTCTTTGCTCAGCTTCAGGCTTACAGGTCTCTTAACTACTTTTCTGCTCAAGCTCAAGACATAGTCAATCTTTTCCATCAATGGAGAGTCAACATCATATTTCTTCTGGCACATCAGATCAAATATTTTTTCTGCCTTGACATAATCTCCAGATGATAGGTATCCGCTTAATATGGTGTTGCAGGACCGAGCATTAATACCAGTTGCCCCATTCCTCTGCATTTGGTCAAAGATCTCCTCAGCTTTATCAAGATTACCAACTTTCACCAAAGAATCCAAGTATATAGAATAAATCGTACGGCTGGGTCGACATCTCTCAAGGCACTGGAAGAAAGCTGATTCCAATTTGTCATGTGAGCCTAAGTTGAAATACATGTTCATTAGATCAATATAAGATGGCATGAAAGTCTTCAAACCGGTGTTGATGAAATCTGTCATGAGGGACTCTGCAAGTTCAACTTCTTGAGCTTTACATAAGACCTCTATGACTTTATGATATGCCACAGCATTAGCTGAACCCAACTGTTCTTGCATCTCCCTGAATATCTCCAGGGATCTCCTAGGTTCTCCAGCCTTTGAATAGGCTTCCATTTTATAAACATATGCCTGAGATGGGAGACCAACATCAAGGTGGAGAAGTTTGAGCCAAGTACTTTCTGCTTCCTCCACATCCCCCTCCTTTGAGCAAGCTCTCAAGATAGACACAAGCACATCTCTGCCCACCTCAATTCCAGCTTGTTGCATTTCTTTCCTTAATGATGTCATCCTCTCTTTATCTATAGTATCCTGACAACTATGTAGCCAGATTAAGCCACTATAAATATCCTTGTGAATCTCAAGTCCAGTTGTTACCAAATTATGAAAAATAAACTCAGCCTGTTTAAGGTAATGCTTCGAAGAGGTTCCAGGTTTGCTGACAAGGGCTTTGAAGAGAGAATTGTGCAAGCTAAGCCGGGGCTGGTAGCCTCCCAACTGAATCATACGATTGTAAATGCCACATGCTTCCTCCAAGCAACCTTGAACCGATGCACTAAGATATGCAACAACCAATATATGAAATGTAGATTCACTAGGCACACGCCCCTGATTAATTATATCATCAAATATATCCCTACACTTTGAGGATTTTCGCTCTTTACCCATGTAATCTGCTAACTTGGTAGCAAGAGCAAAATCAAAACGATACCAATGTTGTTGCATCATCCATTTGTACACCTACAGACATTTTAACAAAACTTAACTAAGTCCACATATATTTACATAATCAATGAATCATTTATTTTACTAGGATCCATAGACATGCTAAAATCACAGTCCAAGTGAAGCAAAACATGCAAATTGCAATTTTTATTTTTATTTTTTGCAAATCCTCAATCAACAGTACAGAAGACTAATGTGACAGCAATCTACAACGAGAAAGCTAGAAACATATCAAAATACGCATATTGCAAATATCAACACAATGAAAACTCAAAAAGACTGAAAATTTAGTTACTTTACCCTAAACCCGACATCATTTTCGCGAATTCGCATACAATGCACTGCAACATAAGTGGCATCTTCTTGCCTCATCCACTTTTTCTGCGCATTGAGTATCCGACTCAACGTGCCGGCCTTATGCGCCGGCAGTTCCTTACAAAGCCAAGCCAGCTTCGACCTTCGCCACTGCTCCGGGAGGTCCTCGAGCTCCGGAACCTCAAGCTCCGGAACCGCCAGGTGCTTCAAGTCGGCTGAAGAAAAGCACTTATCTAAGTCGAAAGCCTCGCCCTGCGCAACATTGCTCAAATCCCAATTCTCCCCCGGCTGCGAGACCTCGCCCGAAAGGTGTTCGACGAAAGTACTGGAAGAGGGAAGCGCGAGTACTCGGCGGGATTTGGCGGCGACGGCGAGCGGGAAACCAGAGATGGGTCTCGGGAATCGGTGGGTAGGGTGGTAGTGGTGGTGTGAGAGAGAAAGTGTGAGGGAGCGGAGGAGGGAGAGAGAAGAGCGCATAGGGAGGGGTTTAGGTTCAGGGTTTGAGGAGAAGAGGGAGGAGAAGAAAGTGAAGGAGGAGTGGGTTAGAGAGAGAGTGGAGAGTGGGAGCTTCGGAGGTCTACTCGGAAGCATGTCTGTGCTACAGCCCTCAGTTTTTCCGCAGCTGGGGATTTTGATTTTGGGAGGGTTTTATTTTGTAATTATTGAATTGGAAATAGAAGGCTTGAGCTGCTCGGGGCCCACTACTTGGGCTTGATAGGGGAGAAAGCTTGTCATAACCCACTTCACTTAAAAGGCAAGCCAATTCATGAGTGAATTTTTTTTTGGGCTTTTCAAATGTAACTTCATAAGTACGGCCCACAATATAACTCAAATTTTAGGAAAAAAAATTATTGGGAGACTTTGGAAAAACACAAAGGAGAGAGAAATTTTATAAAAGAAGCTAAAATGGACTAAATTGCCCTTATTTATTTTGGATTTCCTAATGAATCCTTTACATTTGCATGTCTTTAATTTGAAAGTTAAGAGGTTTTTTTGTCTTTTTTGAAAAAGCTTTGGCTTTTTCCAAAAGTGAAAATTTTTTTTGGCTAAAACCTAAATTTACTAAGATTATTTTGATTTTTTAAAGAGACCAAATATATCGTGCAAGCTTTGAAAAACATAAAAATTACAACATTACTATATGAGTTTTTTTTTCTTCTAAAAATCATAATACAAGGATAAGAATAGTATTTCACACATCAGCTGGTCTTTTTTGGATTTTTTTTCCTTTAATTTATAGCTTTTAGTGTTTATATATAAAATCAATGTAAGAAATGAGTTTTATTATAAATTTCTCTTTTATTTTATCATTGGCTAGTAGGGGTGGGCAAAAAAAACCGATGATCCGGTGAACATAGCTTAATCGAACTAAAAAAATTGAGAAAAAAACCATATTGACAAAAAAAAAGTCAATTTCAGCCCCAAAACTGAATCAAATTGTTTTAGATGGGTTCTCGTTCCCCTTTTTGCCTTGAAAAATTTGATCCAAATTGAACCAATCCGGTTGTATTATTTTACTTATTTATTTATATTTGAATATATTAATAAACTCAATTAATATCCAAATCACATTATTAGCCCCAAGTAGTATCTAGATCCTTTAACCCAATTAATATCCAAATTTAAAATCGACATGTTTACTTATTCATTATTGGAATCAAAATAAGAATTTGAATTCCGATTATGAATTATTGTTGTGTTTACTTCACATAAAGAAATGAAAATGTAAGTGGGCCCCATACAAAATTGGGAATTCAACTCCTGATTTTGGAGGAATTGGATTCTTGGGTGGGATATGGTATCCTAATTCTTAGAGAACTAACTCAGCATTAATTCATCTTTTTTTATCCATTTTATCCTCACACAATTTTTAAAATTTTCAAATTTGCCATCCACTTTAACCCAACAAGAATTTGCCAATAAAAAAATTTATTTAAACAAAGAGCATTTTAGTAATCAAATGGGTTTCAATAAAGGGCATTTAGTTAACAACTTATAAGGAATCAATATCATTTATACCTCAATTATAGATAGTTTAGTAAACAACTTCAATGGGAATCCATATTCCAACTCATCCTCAATTCAATTTCTCCTTACCCAATTATGAATTAGTAAACATGCCTAAATACCAAACTATACGCCTATTTCTTTTTCTTTTCGATGCACCATAGCCATTTTCTTTGTTACACCTCCTTTCTTTCTTCTCCATCTCTTTCTTTCCCTCTCACTTCATCTTTCTCACTTCTTCACTTCTAGCTCAGTTTGACAAATTGGTTTGGTTCAGTTTCCCTAAACATTTTGTATGTAAATTGAACCAAATCAAATTGTGTGTAATTTTTATATTTTAATTCCAATTTGAGGGGTAAATCGAGTCGAACCAAACCCCTATTGGCTAGTCCCTAACAACATCGTTTGATGACTTGGCATGTACTGAACTTTTTTAATTAAATTGGACTAATGTCTTAACCGTTGGTTAGTGAACTTACAAATGTTAGAACAGTACTTGTTAAATTGGACAATAATTCAATGCATTATAAGAACATTAATTCAACGCATTGTTTCTTATAAGTCTAATCTAAAGGAGCAAGACTCATAAATATTGACTCAGACAATTTCAATCTAGTTGAAGGCGAGCGACCAAACAAGACTTACTAGTTTAAGATCAGAAATCGGGGCTTTTCATTAGGGATATATTGATGTATATATAATACAAAAGTCTTATGACAATAGGGTGTTACTGTTGTGCAAAAAAGCAAATAGTGCCAATACCAGTTGCTTTGCCAAACGGACTATCAGAATCCTTGTCGAGAAAACATGCTCTTCACATAAAAATATTTTATTCGTTAAAAGATGGATAAGACAGATGGATTATGTGCCTTTTAACCAATTTCCCTATGCTTGAGGAAACCACTTTCCACCTTACTGCAGAAGTAGGTGACACATCCTGTTTGGCATCAATTTTAGGACTTTGTAATCACAAAGGAGGAGCCCAGCCAAGCATGATAAAGACAACAGAGAAATTGTATTAATTTTTACAAAAAGCATTTTAATGCTCGATATTTTTGTTATACAGTCCTGTCCTGTACTGAGAAGAAACATTTACATGAAACGAGAATAGCGTTATTCCGAGAATCCTTTCTAGTGATGTTTAGTGACCATGCTATTTGTTTGGAAAGCCAGCATTAGGAAAAAAAAAAACTCAATTCCAGCTAGCTAGGCTTGCAATTTGGTAGGTCAGTTTGTGGTTGGAAAAGATCAGTATAAGTAAAGTATTTAAATATTCAATTACTCCAATTCCAAATTGGAAAATGAAATTATAATAAATGATGTAACATTCATCATTATTATGAAGAAAAACTTGTAACTCAGGTAAAATCAAATTAGTATCCAGCTGCAGTTCAATATGAAGAACTGCCACTTGCTTCACCAAGAGAATAAAATATAATAATAATTTGATGACTATCTTCCTATTGCCCACATCTTCTTGCCACTTGTCAGGCAACAACAATCTCACTCACCATTTTTTACTTTTTTTCTTCCCTTTCTTTTGCTGGCCGCTCCCACTCTCTCTCACACCCCATTATAAAAGTATAGGAGATCCAAGATTTGAACAGAGAAGGGAGCAGCACAAAGATTTAGGTTGTCCCTTTCTTAAGACCTTGAAATTTACCCTCAAAATTAATGATATGCTGGTCTACTACTCTAGCTCATCCTTAATTAAGGATGAGGGAGTCAAAGATTCAGACTGCAGAGAGGGGTGGGTTTGACTAATCATCATTTAACACATACACAATGCTGTATATTTCTCAACCTTATAATAACAAAAATTACTTCCTCTTAACCTAAGGAACCATTAGGATCAATACATGTAAGTGATAATTAGGCAAATGGAAGTATAGGTTAGAAACAAAGTAAAGCAAATGAGAATGTAATTGATCATAAAAACATGACCCCTCAAATATAAAAGTATTTGTATCTGTTCCACTTGAGAAAGATACTACTCCAAAATGATTTTCCTAGACAATGAGTTTGTAGTTATGTAGTTAAGCTAATTCACCTATGCACAAATAGATGATGTTTTGACGCTTAGACCAAAGATTTATCATCTTCTATTAGGGTATAGCATCATTAAAAACCATGTGAATATGCATTGTAAACAAAGTGAATTTGAGCTCACCCACAATATGAATTCGTATTAAATGTGAACTAGCTTTTTCTATAATGGGAATTAGCATTGAAAGTGAACTTTGGTTTGACTCTTAGATCAACAAGTTTATCATTTATATATATATATATATATATATATATATATATATAAAAGATATACTCGGGGAGGGTTGAATCGAATACAAAATCTTAAACTCCAAATTTATTGATAACTGCTCTTAACTACTTCAACTACAAACTCTTACATTTGTCACTCCCAATTTGAATATAAATTTGTTACCATATATATATATATATATATATATATATAAGATATACTCGGGGAGGGTTGAATCGAATACAAAATCTTAAACTCCAAATTTATTGATAACTGCTCTTAACTACTTCAACTACAAACTCTTACATTTGTCACTCCCAATTTGAATATAAATTTGTTACCATATATATACATATAAGATATACTCGGGGAGGGTTGAATCGAATACAAAATCTTAAACTCCAAATTTATTGATAACTGCTCTTAACTACTTCAACTACAAACTCTTACATTTGTCACTCCCAATTTGAATATAAATTTGTTACCATCATTGGATTGTGTTCCCAATCCATACAAAGCCATCCCTTTCTTTATGTTTCTCAATACAACAATTTCAGGGTTTGAGAGACACTTCCCAATAGCTACCATTGATTGCATTCCAGGTGTGAGAAAAAACAACCAGAAGAAACAGAAAAGCCTATCCCCATGTGGACAGTACTGATATGGTTAGGGGGTATTTATATAATTGCACATGTTCTGAGTTCACTGAATTTGAGACAATAAATAGATATGATCTATGTATGCCTTGTCTCCTAAAGATTTCTCGAGTCTTGGACTCTGGAGCGGATAAAATCATAAAAATTCATTTTCCAAAAAAGAATCAGATAAATACCACACCAACAAAATAACAATCTCACTCAGACTCTGTGAGAGAGAGAGAGAGAGAGAGAGAGAGAAGAGCGAGTAAGAGCTGAAAGAAAAGAAAAACCACACAGTTGTACAAACAGAAAACACAGCAGAGAGAGAGAGAGGGAGAGAGGGGATGGTTGGGTTCACGAGCTCTGTCGTAACGCCTCTACAATCAGTGTGCTAAAATACCCAGAGAAGAAAAAAGGAAAAAGCTTTTTTCTTTGGCCAAAAATCTGAGAAACCCCCCCATTTCTGAGGTGGGTGAAGCTTCACGGGCTCGAACCCATCTCGGTCTTTTTCTTCACCCACCAGCTTTTCATCAATCCAGTGGTCCACGTCCTGCCACGTCGTCTCCACCACCTCC